ATATGCAATATATCAATCATTGTTGAATTCCTATCATTCTGTTTAGTGAAGTTCTGTATTGTTTCTAATGTTCCTTTTTACTATTTTTTATTCCCTTTAAAAAATAAAAAAAAATTTAAAAAGAACTTAAAAAAAGCACTTTAAGTGCTTTTTTTAAAAAAAAAAAATCAGAAATGTCTATCTTGTTCTGTATAAATTGTCTTCAAAGAAAGACATGAACTCTTGTGCCGCTAATCCAGACTACGTGAGTTTTTGGTGGTCCACAAGGACCTCCCCTCGGCAAGAGGTAGGTTAGGTCTTCTGAGAGGTGCCAAGTGCGGACCTCTGTTAAATGAGCCTCAGGCCCCAACAGTTGCAGTTGCAGGCAGTAAGCTCAGAGAAGACTGGAGACACGGGCCCCAGGAGACCGCAGGCGGGAATCTGTCCCCCTGCCTGTAGGAACCAGAGTCAAGGGCTCACTCTTGAATCCTTGTATCTGCAGAGGTCCCTGTGCTGGAAAGAGAGTGTGCATGCATGTCTGTGTGCATGTCTTTAAAGACAGATGCTTTAAGTTCATTTATTTTGTACTTTGGAAGCCATCAGGACCCTAGTCATAAAAACAGAAAGCAAGGTAATTATTTTAAGCAGAAAAAAAGAATTAATAAAAGGATTTGTATATGAGTTGTTTTGAAAGGGCTAGAAAAGGAGAGGGAAGGACCAGGAAGAAGAGGATGGCTGACTATATTTTCTTTTCCTTTCTTTTTTTTTTTTAGTACAGGGTCTACAGGGTCTCACTATGTAGCTTGGACTTGTAGTGATTCTCCTGTGTTTAGCCTCCAAAATGCTGGGATTACAGGTGCGCACCACCATGCCCAGTCTCAGTCGCCTTCTCAGCACCCAGGCAGGGCCTGCACGGCATGTGGGGGATTGAATCCCGGTCCTCAAGTCTGCCTAAGCAGGTGCTTTAATTCACTGAACTGTCTGGCCAACTCTTCTTTTTCTTTTAACAAAAAAAAAAAAAGTTATTTTAATTTGCCTCACTGGGAATTGGATTCAGGGTATTTGCACTGAATTACACTCCAAGCCCTGTTTCATTTTTTAAATTTTTGACAGGGTCATACTGAATTGCTAAGTTGTGCAGGCTGACTTGAACTTGAGATCCTCCTGAATCAGCCTTCCAGACTGCTGCGATTACAGGCGTGCATCACCACATTGGGCTTGGGTAGCCGGTGTCAAAGCTTGCCCCTCTGTGGGGCATATATCTTGGCAGGGCCGTAGTGACAGGCCCCAACCGACTATTGCAGCCACCAGCCACTGTTATTACCACCAAGACTGAAGTCAGAGCTGCTGTCAGGGACGAAAGCAGGATCCCCTCCCCCTCCCTCCCGCCTTCTGATGCCTGCTGCTCTCTGAACCTGAGCAGGTCCCTGTTTGCAAATCAGTCTGAGTGTCTGTGGGGAGATGCAGTATCTACACTCTCACCACATGGGACGCAGGACGGACGCAGGGACAGGTAGTATGTAGGACAGGTGGCTCTCGGAGTGCGTTTGGTTCTTTTTTTAAAAAAAAAATTAGCTTTTTATTAGCACATGTTTGCCATAAATAGATCACAATCATCACAGAGAATTTTTGCCTGTACTTAATCATTCTTGTTTTTCCTGTTCTCGGGATACTTTACAAAGTGTTATTACAGCACTTTTAACATTTTGACATTTAATTTCATTTAAATAGGCATGTATAAAAATTATTATTATTTCTCCTCCGGGGGAATTGAAAAGATCAATTTTGTGTTGAAGAGCACATTGTGAGTTTAAAGGCTGTCCGGTTTTCATTCATAGAACTCAAAAGCAGCCAAGCAAAATCACTGAGAGGGTCACTCTCGCAGGGTTGGGAGACCCTGCTGTGTCATCTGTGGATAGCGTTCTTTGTAATTTTTGCTCCATACGTAACCCAGTGATTTGAGGCACAGCTGGATGAAGCAGTTCTGTTGGATAGGCTTTCGTACTGATCCTGAAGCAAAATGGGCCATTTTTTAGTAATCAAATAATCTACTTGCTTCCTGAAATTTTGTGTACATTCGTTCTAGGTACACTCTATGTATATCATTCCAACAGGGAATTATTTCAGATAAAAAAATATTTACAGACTTAAAACTGTGCCTTGAAGAAACAAAACGGATGATAAAAATTCCTGTAAATTGCCAGAATTGGATTATATTACGCATGTATGTCAATCTCATTGTTCCTTTAATCTCAGGGGATTTTCAGTGATTTTCTAGCTACTGTTGCCCCAGGTTTGTTTCTGAATATGTTTCAGCATATGTTGAGCACGATGTAGATATAGATACAGCCATAGAGATAGGCAGATATAGATATAGAACCAAGGCCAGAAGTTGGGCATTCTGAATAAATATTTGTTTGTGTATGGAATATATGCAGGGGGCCGGGGAGATAGCTCAGTGGAATAAGCGCTTCCCTGGTAAGCACAAGGGCCTGAGTTCAATCCCTGGTTCTGGAAAAAAAAAAAAAAAAGGAATATATGCAGTATGAACAAACAATATGGTGAATGTTTAAGTTTTTTAAAACTTACTATAATAAAAAACACTTGGCCATTCATCCGCCTCAAAATATTCCCTCTCACTTCAGACACACTATGCCAGAGTTCATGACACATTGTGAAGCAGCTCTGGAAGTCCCCTTTTGCCAGTGTTTTTAGTTACACTGCCACAGCTGCCTCAGTGTCCTGTATTAATTCAAAACCTTTACCTTGCATGATCATTTCTGACTTCGGGGACGAGCCAGAAGTTTCGTGGTGCCAGATCAGTAGATGAGATAGCTGGGGACACACTATCATGATTTGATGAGCTTTTCTTTCTATTGGATGATGCTTAGCAGCAGCACTTACTATATTTTTGTTCACATTGCTTTATAAAGACACTCGGGAAAGAGGACCTCTCAAAATGCTTTGGAAAGTAACAAGAATAATGGGATAAATGTGCTTGAAACAAAGAGGGGCACTATCAGGGGGATTAATGGCAAGTATCTTTTACTGCAATATAT